GGTCACTAGTGTAGACAGAGGATTTGAGTGGCCGACACCCTGGTCAAGGAGCACGTTGCCGAAGTCCGCGCCCCGCCTGTCAAAGAGTGGATCGTCAGACCTGATTGAGTGCAGCACTAACACATCTCTCGACTGTGATATTTATCTTGGCGTGGTAGTTTTGGCGAATTGAAGCGTACGTAAACACCGGTCGCCCAAAATCATGGGCACCGCAGTTCCAAGAATACTAGCGTACTTCACGAGCAAGGGTGCATCGAACTCCACTTAGTTTCCCCCTTGCTGCCGAATGAGCTGACAAGACTGCTGAAGGTAGCCTCAAGGGGTCCGCGCACGACGTGTGCGGCCTTGTTCGCGCCTGATCCTGCCTGCGCAGCCTTGTGTGCCATATTCAAACTTTTCTCTTACTGGCTTAAATACTTCATCCTTTTCCACCCTCAGAGCCAGGTCTCTTTCATCTTTGTTCTGATACTCTGTGAGATTCTCAATTGCGTGGTATCAGTCTTGTGGTGGGAGATTGCCCTATCTTTTGAGGCAGCTGTGTTTAAGGCGGCTTACGCTGCCTTTGTCGACCCCAAGCAATCGAACGAGACCAAGAAAGCAGCAGCCAAGGCCAATCGGAAAGGCGCATCGATTCCTAACGCCGTTCGAGCCTCTCTTGAGCTCGTCGCCGATCAGAGCATGACGAGCTTCGCGGCGTTCTCAAAAGCGGGTTGCAACTCGCTGTTGGCATGCGGAGCTTCCGCAGCGATGCTGTGCTTCCCTCTTCTTCTTCAGCTAAGGTTCATCAGTTTTATGGCCGAAGTCTCGGCCCATCAACGTCAGAAGGAGGCTGAAGTGTAAGTCCACATGTTTCTCTCAAGTTCAGAACACTAACGATGTACAGTGGCACAGAAAATACCCTTCGAGTCTACCTGATTAGCTCACGCGACCTGAGATTATTGGACTCCTGCCGTCGTATCTGCGTCCTCTTCGCTTTCGTCTTGCTTGTGTTCATCGCGAATCCCCAAGAACCACAAACCTTTGTCCTCGTTCTCCCTTTGGTCCTCCATACAGATGAAAAACTGGCCAAGCTGTGGAAGGCCATGGCCGATACAGAATCCGCTTGGGTATTCCTACACATGCAGTATCCGTTGCCAGAGCAAGGTCCCCACCAAGAGATCACATACAACTCGATCAGCCACCCAAAACCCGCATTAGAAATTCCTGAGGCCATGGAGAGAATGTAAGTGTCTGGCGCAGCGAGTGCGGCGGCCCAGGTCCTGCGGATCTGGCAGGAGGGCTATAAATATAAGGTGAAAGTGACCAGGACTACGACTGGATTACGCTGGCGCAACTCGGCAAGAAACAAATTGGGAGATGCTGCAGATGAGGTTTGATCAAGTGACAGGATTCAGCGACGTGTTGGTCAATGTGTATTATCGAGTGACGAGAAGAATGCCTTAGACGCAATGAACGACATCATTCACATGGCTGCCAAAAATCAGATCCACCCAGGCCGCGAATATTGATCCTTCGTCTTCACGGGCATAATGGGATTGAGAAACCGCCGTCCACCCTGCAGGGCACGCGTGGCCGCTCGAATGGGGCGCAGAAGCCTGTGGAAAAGACTTAATCAGACGAGGCTCCTCATCAGGGCAGGGAAAGTATGCGTAACCTGTTTGGTCTGTCTGGCTGCTGCACTGAGATTTTGGCTCCTGAGTGAATGTCGTCTTCCCCGGTCCTGCCGGAATTGACCTCGACGGTCTTTGACATGAACGATTGGCCATCCCGTAGGGTGATGGTGTACCCGATCGAGAAATTGTATCTTATTGTCATCGTGCAGAAAAGTGCAGCGGAGATGGCTGTTGGGAGCACCATTACAAGGCAACATTTTGGTGTTACCCATCGAAGTCTGTTCAAGACTGCTTTTAAAACCTCGCAGCGAAAAAAGCTGCTCCACTCACCGGAAATAGCACTGGCTCATCCCCTGACTTGCCGATCCTCAGAGCAACTCTCAAACTTACCCTGCTCAGTCCTGGCCAGTTTCTCGAACGGACAGATGAGACCAACAAGACATCGGTGCTTGTAACCCGCGAACATTGTCATGCTCCACACAAACAAACACCCCGGCTGAACCCACCCTCGAAGACCCCTCCCCGTGTATCACCCCGGATTCACGGGCAGGGGTATTTAAGATGGTGTGGGAGATCCCTGCCCGTGAACAACCCCGGATCTACGGGCAGGGGTATTTGAGGTGGTGTTCAGTCTGGCTTGTACACCATCTTCATGGCCCTGCCCGCGAGAGCTCACCGGCTTCATCTCAATGGGTCATCAGTCCTATGCTGTCCACCATTCTGCTGAGGCTCATGAATAAGTAGACAGAACTTGGCGGCAGAGATTCTACTCACTGTAAGCCTGCTGGTTCGTGGATGTCCCATAATATTGGATGCTACAGTAGTAGCGATCAATATATGATTTACACCAGCGCTCAATGAAGCGATGGCAACGACCGCACCCCCACCTAACCTTCCAAGAGTAAGTGTCAGTAACATCGTATTAAATTAATTGGATCTGACTCACTTGATCCCATTTACACATTTTTATGTGGAAAATGCGCTTCGTTTAAGGCAGCGCACTGTCCCAACATAGACAGGATGGGCGACCCGCATCGCGCAAGGCAATCGAGCAACAGGTATAATAAGGCAACCGCGGTGCATCATTGCGACGACGGGTCCCATGGGGTTTTATATAGCTCCGGGGCGCAAATGGCAGCACGAACTGTGGTTGGGAGCTTTTCTTTTGGGAGGGGGGGATGTGATGTGTTAATTTTGGCAACGCGATTGCTTATCCTCTCCGAGACGGAAGGCAGGACACTGATGATTCTCAAGAATGGAAGCTGTGCGAGACCTGAAAAATGGCAATCGCCCCATGTGACCAAGGAACCGCCACTGACGCAGAGGTAACAGATGAAGGAGACCGGATGGTTGCACCACAAGGCGTGGGCCAAGGGCTGGCGGTTTACGCTGCCTGAGGAAAGGTACAGCACACCATCTGACCCAAGGCTTTTACAAACATTTTAAATGTCTCTGATCTTGATGTACTCGATGAGCTTGGGCTCCAGGCTGCGTCGATTCAGTCTCTTTCCGTAGAACGAAGTAGCACAATGCATACTACGTTCTTCTTCTCCTCTTGACATGTCCAAATGGCAGATCGTCGCCAAGTGCCCTTTTTGGTCTTGTCCGCGTCCCAAAATTATCAAATGGCATGCTCCGTGACAGTGATGGTGCTTGACGTGTGCATGGGAAATGGGACGATCACTGCCTGCGCGGAGATGGAGGGATACATTACGAGAGCGGACTGATCCTGGTGCCTGTTTGAGCACACATGGCTTCTCCTCGATCGAGGCCAATTAGAGCGAGTAACCTCCAGTCGCAACGTGCGACTTTCCTTTAAGGATGCGGTGAGTGATACTTCATATTCAACGCAAGGGCCCAAAGCCTGTCTCTGTTGGGAGCGTGATCCTGTCTCTCGCAGCTGGCAAGGCGCATTATCCCTCATCCTGATTACCGATCTTATGCAAGAGAGCTGGGCACCAGAATGCACAGGTGAGGCACGGGTCCACGCTGCTCCTGGCGAGCGGCTAGCACTGGGCCGCCTCATCTCGATTGTCGCACCACAGCCTGATTCCTGCTGGACGAGGTGGCCGATACTTTTCGTCAAATAGTGTTCGACCTCATGCTGCAATGCCGTCCCAGCCCGTCATGTCTTTCTACTCTAGCCTCTTCCCATGTGACAGATATATTTTGCTTCTTCGTATACAGCAGGCAAATGCCAACTTTCTTCCATGCCTGCTTGTGCTCGCCATCACACCTCATTTTCGTGACCTTCCCAGCGAGCTGCCGCTCATTGAGCAAGCAGGCAGGCAGAACATCGTGAAAACAAGGCGGTCTTAATCGGGGGTGAGAGGCTGCTACTGCCACAGTGGCAACAGCCGTGGAAGGTGAAAGGAAAAACTGTTATCTTGATCTTCACGCTACACGGATCTCGGGGAATTGAACACGGGCCACCGCGCCTCGTCGACGTGTCGACCGTCTCCACGATGGCCTCTGCGAACCTATCATGGTCCGCACAGATCGCCTAGCCGAAGCACTTTCAGCCAGCCGGCTGGCTGAAAGTCTCGTCCTCATACTGATTGGCGGTGGAAGTCGTGCAGTGACCGGGGTCAGGCTGCAGGTTGGGGTGTGGGAAGTGGCAAGGTTCCAAGCACGGCCAGGTGGACTGTACCCGTTGTCTGATTAGTTTCCAGGGGACAGCTGGGAGCCTCCGAAACGATGCCAGCCTTAGCTACCAGTCGAACGACCTCCCCAACCTTTAACCATTCGTCTTCGTCTTCCGCGCTGGGGTTCGAGCACTGCATGGCAAATGCCTGAATCCGACAAAAAGGTATTCAATGCAGCTGTCAGTCTCTAGCAAGGGTGGCGCCCCCCTGGTCTACTGACACGTTCTGGTTGACATCCGGCTTCTGGGGCCGCTCAATTGTCACTGGGCCATTTTCCGACCTGCAGCCAACACTGGGGCCTGTATATTGCTGAAATGTGCACAGACCACTTGTGAACGGCGGGTCACAGGTGGTCTGTGCTCCCTCTGGCAGGGGCATGTGCCCTCCTCGAAAGTGACACACCCCTGACCTGGTCGTGCTTTGAAATCGTGCCATTTCGTCCTCAGCCTCTCGGCCCACACCCTAACCTGGAGCCTGTCCCCGGTCTCTTCACGAGTTAGATGCCGCTTCAATCGCCAATGAGAGCGAGCGGACTTTTGGCCAGCCAGCCGGCTATGGCACAATCTGGCCTGTGAATGCGGCCATTGAATGCATAGGCCAAGAACTTCCACAATTTGGCCAGTTTTTCGTTTGTATGAAAAACTAATGGGGACGCGAGGACAGAGGTCTGTTGTTCTTGGGCATTCGCGTTGAGCACGAGCGAGCTCAAGGCGCTGATGATGCAAATGCGAATTAGCCTTTCAAAGTTTTTGGGTGAGATTTGATTCTTCCACAGGATGTTCCATTGTTAGATTGGAGTTCCATCCCCTCGCGCTTGCCTGTTCGGGCTCATGAAATCCGGCAAGCTATTGAAACCAAGCAAGATCTCCTGCCACATGGCCATTTCTGTGCGTGCCCATTCACAATCGGAGAGCGGAGGGCTTGTTGTTGGTGGTGGTTGTGCAGCTTCGCGAGCCTGTTGATGTTGTGGGGAAGAAGCACCAGACGCCCTATCATCCACGTCGGAATAGAACGAGGAAAAGGAAGGGAAGGCCTGGCCAGCCGAGCTGAATGAGTCTCCGGCACCAACGCCCAGTAGCGGCGCTGCAGCATCCCGTCCTATCCCGTTGCCGTCATTACCGCCACCATCGTCTTCATGATCGGACAAGGCTGCAGCGTCCCTAGCCGTCCCTGCTACGTTGCCCTTCCCCTTCCCCTTGCACCGATCATCTGCACCGGTGACCTCGACGGGCCAGTCAAACAACGCCTCGGGGGTCCAGCCAGGACAATA